TTTATTTAAATATATTAAAATTTAAAAAAAGTAGATCATAACAATATTTATGATAATTTTCCAGGCAAATTTGCCTGAAAAAGTCTACAGTTTAAGGGATAGTTTAAAAATTCATTTAAATAACTACCTTTAGCATTCTAATTAAAAAAATTCCTTGCAAAATTTTACTATATATTATGCATTACCCCAACCCAAACTCAACGCTAACTCTGACCCTAACGATAATTAACTTTAGTATTTGTTTTGATTCTATTACATGATGTGATTGGCCATTATAACTGTCATCATGTCACCACTAGCGACAACTAGTTTTTTTTTTTATTTTTTTATAAAAATGTTTGAAGACCAAATTATCTATAATGATGATAATTCAGTTTCAGTTTCTTTTGGATGGATAGCTGAGTGGTATTTACTACAATATCTAATTTTAAAAAATACATGTTTAAAATCTCAAAGCTGTTTAAAAACAACACAGTTAATTCGTAATGAGTTAATTAAGCTTGACTGTATAGATGGTGCTGTTGATTTTACTGAATAGGCGGCTTCTGGAATGTAAAAGTTAACAAACCACATTAATGATATTTTAAAACTTACTGAGAAAGTCAAGAATATGTTAACCAAATTCAAGCCGGTTTTAAAAAGGATAAGCTATGTTGGTCATAGATTATGTATTGTGCTGGTAATAGAAAAACTTGTCGACATCAATGTGGCAGTATTGGAGAATATATGCCAGAATATTCAAATTTTAATTTATCTAATAATTTAAAAAATGAAAATAATAGCATCATTGTTTAGTTAGAGTTCATTCTTTTTCATAATTATTATATCTTAAATCAGACAATCAACTTCATATCAAAATTGAAGGAACACATTATCCTCCTAATATAGTAAATGTTAGTATTCTAAAGATTACAAGAATTAATTTGACACATCAAGTTTGAGACCAAATTATTATTAACTAACATGCTGATCATCAAACAACAAAAACTATAAAAGAAAAATTGTTATATTCTTTAAATGATACTGATAAGAAAGATTTACATGAAGCATTACTAAATAGTAGAGAGATTTGTAACAATAAGAAATTAGAAAGATTTATCATTTATAAAGATAGGAGGTTGAAAGATTATATGAGTCCATGGATGGTTCTTCATTATCTTATTGAAGAAATCTTAAAACCTAAAGATTATGTTTTATACTATCAGCAGCCAGATTTATCTAAGCCAGAAACTTCTGCCAAACATTATTATTAATTAACAGTGTCTGATGAGTTCTGGTTGCAAAATGGAAGAGATTTTAGACAGCTCTGTATTAGTGTCGATGGAAAGTATGATCTTAATATCGACTATACTCCAATATTAACTATGATTATTAAAAATAATGCTAAATATGGAATACCATTAGCATTTGATATTTTTATTTATTTACTGTATTTATTTTATTTTTTTTTTATTTAAATTAATAATATATATTATTTAATAATTATAGGATTGAGTAATAAGGGACGTGTCATTTATCACCTGATTTTTTAGGGAGGGGGGGGGTCTGGGCAAAAATCAGGTTACACAATATAATAT